CACTTGTACTGCTAGGTATTTAGATCGTGTGAACATGGATAACCTACTGTTTTGTTTAATATGGAGTGAGGAAAGGAGACTTTGTCCTCTGATAGGGTAGAACCAATCTTGGGTACAGGAAATGATTGTGATTATTGAACCAACCTTTATTAATGCAATAAACATGAAAAACACTTAAAAGCCACAATATTTTATATGTACAGGCATCTCAGTTGCATATTGCTGGATGAAAATAGTAATGTTGTCCCAACGAGTTAAATGCATGCACAAGAAATTAGCAACAGCACTCCATGCTAGAAATCATTGGGGAGGAAAATCCTTAGAGAGGTTTTTAAATTGATTCATTTTGACCCAAGAGTAAATGGCGCCCCACTCTGGGTGTGGCTCCTCATGTGGCGGTGGCGCGCGCAAGATGTCCTGGTGGCAGCCGCGGGCGCAGGCCTTGCACGGGGCCGCCTGGCAGTAGCGGGGCGCGTCCATGTGCACCTCGACCAGGGGGTTGTCCGCCATGAGGGTGAAGACGGAGCGCTCGTGGAGGCGCGCGTGGACGCACACGCACTCAATGCCCTTCGACAGCTGCAGCCCGACGGGGTTCAGCCTGAGGGTGCGCAGCGCCGGGGCCTTGGCGGGGGTCAGGGCCCCGGCCAGCAGCTCGACCACGGCGTTCACCTCCAGGTGGCGCAGGGCCGGCAGCGACGGCAGGGCGGCGAGCAGCGGCCGCAGGTACGAGCACCTCGAGGCGTCGGAGCGGTCGTCGTCGATCTCCAGCGTCTCCAGGCGGGACTGTCCTGGACGCCCGGCCAGGGCGAGGACCAGGCCCATGCAGCCGCCGTCGTCCACGGCCTGGCCTTCCGTCGACGTGTACCGCAGGGAGACGGACTGCAGCTGGTGCGCGCGGCGGAGGAACTCTTCGGCATCCTTGACGCGGGCGTGGGCGTGCAGGATGACCCTCCGCAGCGTCGCGCACGTCGCTAGGGCCGCCATCCCGGGGTACGGGTCGACCACGAGCTCGCGGAGGTTGGGCATGCGGAGGAGCAGAGGCCCCCAGTGCCGGCTCCACGGCCACAAGTGGAAGTCGAGCGCCTCCAGGGTGGGGGCGTGGACTTTCAGCATGTAGTTGAAGAAGTTCCGAGTCATCGGGTGGGGCACACAGCGGAACCGCTTCAGGGACGACTCGGGCAGAGATACCTCGTCTTCGGGCTCCGGGTCCCACCATCCACTGATTCCAGACACAACCGGAATCTGGAGTTCCTCCAGGCCGCAACGACCGTACACCAACAGATGGAGCAGCGGCTCGAGGTCGACAGAGCCGTTAAACTCCATCAACAGGGTGAGGCCGCGGAGTCGGCCGAGGGCGAGCTGGTTCTGGATGACGTGCATGGCCGTCTCGAGCATTTCCTCGCCGCCCGCCCCGGCCACGTAGACGGCCAAGCTCTTCACGGCGCACTCCGTCTCCGTGTACAGCGAGTGCGACCCGAAGGCGCTCAGCTCGAACAGCGCGTTCTCCACGCACGGCGCCAGGCGGAGCGCCGGCGCGAGCCACTCGTCCGGCATGAGGGACATGCGCCGGTGGCGCCAGACGTCCTGGTGCAGGGCCAGCTCCCCGAGCCGCTTGCACACGAGGCGGCAGGACAGCAGGTCGGGCACGTCCACGTACTGCAGCACCACGACCAGCACCTCGTCCAGCAGGCTCTCCATGGTCTGTAAGCACACACAAGGGGAACGGCGGTTTAGCGCGGCGGCAGCACACACAACAAAACAACAATCTAGGCGCTTGCAAGGGACGAGTCACTCAGAGTGGCGGAACGTCAGGTAGCGCTGCTGGAGGCGGAAAACAAAGTAGCAGACAAAAATATCGCGTGTTCAGGCTTGGTTGTGGCACCAGGACGGGCTGAGCGTGCAGCACACAGTACACCGAGTTGTAGTACACACCTTTACGCTGCTGCTGCTGCTGTGAACTGGAGATCGTTCTTTTGCTGGGCTAGGGCTGGGTGAGCGAGCGAGGCGGGAGGCGTCAGTCGACTGAGGGAGGATTGAGAGTGAGCGGCCAGAGCAGCGAGCGTTGTGAGCGTTCTGCGACGCCGGGCCGGGGCCGGGCCGCCTGGTCTGGGCTATCCCAGCCGAGCCTGAGCGCCCCCCCCCCCTCCCCTCTACCCACTCCATTCCCGACGGGTAGCCCAGTCCCCCTCCACCTCTCCCCCTGCGCCCTCCGCGACAAATTTTGTTCTCAGCCCTTGTGCTGCCGTGCTTGTTTCTGGCCGGCAGGTTTGCGTTTGCGTTTGCGTTTCCATCGGGCTTAGAGAGAGAGAATGTCATTAACATCAAGTATCAAATACACCTGCTGGATCGAAGGGGAAATAAGCGGAATACCCTTTGAATTGGACAATTTTCTCGGTTTGATTGTTTATTTCCTTCCATTCCATTACAGTATTTTCCGTGTCACACAATTTGTCTTTGCCACAAAAAGTTGTATCGAGTATCGAACCAATAGCGCTTTTCAGACTCGATTGGGTAAATCACACCAGCTCAGCGGCGGAGCCATGGTTAAAGTTTCTAATGTTGACACATCAGAAATGTAGCAAGATAAAATGGTGTGCATCTCTGGCAACTGACATTTGTCTTCAGGGACATGCGTAAAAAAGATAGCTCCCTCGCACCACGCGTCGAGGTGGCAGTTAGTAACACACATTAGGCAGGGGTGGGTATCACATCTGCTACCTTTGGAGTGTATCTCGACGTGCAGCGATGGGTTCTCCCACAAGAGCTTCTTCACCTCGGCCTTGTGCAGCCAGGCGTGGACGCACCCCCAGTTCGACTCTCGCGTCACGAGGCTCCGCAGGGCCGGCGCCGTGGCGGGGGTGATGGCCACCAGCAGCTCGTCCGGCGCCACCTCGACGTGCAGGTGCCGCAGGTGGGTCAGCAGGGGCAGCGCGCGCACTAGCGGCTGCACCTGCGGAAGGTACTTCTTCTTGTTGTAGATGCGCAGCGTCTCCACGCTAGACCGCCCGGACGAGGCCAGGTCAAAGACCAGGTCCACCCCGGTCGTGCTGGACTTCCACACCCAGGTTATTTTGTCCCGAAAAGTGAGGCAAGAGTACTTGAGGGTGACGTCGCGCAGCTGGTTGGCGCGGCGGAGGAACTCCCTGGTCTCCGGGCCCACCGCGACCGGAAGCGTCACGGTGAGCTTGAGCTTCCGGAGGGAAGTGCTCGCCGCCAGGGCCTTCATCTCGGAGAGGGGCGAGCAGCGCAGCTCTCGCAGGTTGGGCATGCTCGCCAGCAGGGCCGCGGGCGCAGACATGACGGTTATTTTGTTTTTAAGCTCAACTTTCTCCAGAGTGCCGGCGTGCTCGGCCAGCAGGAACTTGAACACCTCCAAGGGCTGAGCTCGGCTATTTCCCATCTTCTCTAACCATTTGAGCCTCAAAGCCTTAAGAGATGCGCAGGAGGAGACGCTGCGTGGAGTGGTCATACGAGGCATGTAGCCCCAGTAGCCAGAAATGCTCAGCTCCTCGAGACCGGGTATGGACATCGAAATGTCCAGTAGCTTGGCGGCAGCGACACCTTCCATCTCTGGCAACTCGTCAAAGCTAAGGCCCTTCAAGCGGCCCAGTGCTTTCTGGTTGAGGATCACCTGAACACCTTCCTCCAGATTGCCATTGCCGCGCCAGTCCCATATGTACCCAAAATTCAGCCTCGCTGCGGCACATTTGGTGCGGGACAGTTGAGGACGGTGGCATCTGCCTACCGCCCACAGGTTCAGTGAGTTGAGGCACGGCGCCACGCGTAGCACCGCGCACGCCCAAGGGTTGTCGTCGTAATGATGTCGATGCCGCCACACGTCCGCGTCCACGGCCAGGCGCGCCAACCTCTTGCACACGAGGCGGCAGCGGATGAGGTCTCGCACGTCCATGTGCTTCATCACCAACAGCAGCACTTCGTCCGGCAAAAGCTCCATGGTGCTCTGGAACGACACGCGCAGAAATGATATATATTAGGCAGTTGTAGTGCTGTATGTAGTGTTCTAGTCGTCCCGAGGAGTCAACAAAGTGTGCGCGGTCCGCCCCC